GCCTTTGAAAGTTTAAAGTCAACAACACATAAAAAACGCGACTCTGGTAGATACTGTCTCATCTATCTACTTGTACAAATTCTAAGAAAACAATTTGCAGTAGCAAAACAGGTGCTTCTTCAGGTGTGCAAACTACTGGTACGCCTTCACAATGAATAACGATTCAGTTGATGATTGTTTATAATTAGTAGTTGGATGTGCTTGGGTTTGGGTGTCATCTTGGGTGTTAGCATATTATGGTAGTGTAGCATGAAATATCACATGCATGATAAACAGCAGAGAGAGACAAAATGACAATTATATGTATAAGATGCATTTTAAAATGTGATCAAATATTTACTAAAGAACAAACAAAAACTGATACTTGGTCTTATAGAGAAATCAATCATTAGTTCATGCAGATGCTATATATATACCCAGTGCATATTCTATTAATTTCTAACATATTTAAGAATAATAATATAATATAATATAACAGTATGGAATATTTGTGATTGAAGTATAAATGTTGTGTGTGGTACCACATAAAGAGTTTATATACTAAATTTCAATTCAAACTATGACATAGTTTTTGAAATAAAACACTTTAAATTTGCTGCAAACCTTATTGATAACCCCTTCAAGATCTAAACAAAAACTGAAAGTGCATCATGATATCAGTCAATTTTATTTGAGAAGCCGCTGGATTATTTCCAAATGAAGACTTCATGGCTTATACAGAAATTTAGAAAATAAGCAGATTATAGTAGTTAAGGTCAGCACATCACTCTCTTACAACTCCAGGAGAGGAAAGGGTTCAGCACACTCTCAAGACAGTTGCTGGTTCACTTTACATAAATATGCTGTGTAATATATTGTATTTAAGGCTTGGCAAAACAGTCAATCTTACGGTAGAATTTTAGCATTTCCCAGAACCTTATTATCATAATAATAATAATTATTATTATTATTCTTTATGTTTCAGTTGCAGCCAATCTTCAGAAGATTCTAGACAAACCTCCAGCCAGCAAGTCCCTGACCTTTGCACTGGTAGGAACTTTATTTTCCAAGGCCGTGTTTACATAATGACCAAATTGGACAGGAAATGTATTGGTTATTGTCACCAGTTGTTAATTCAGCTGTAGGGTGGGAGATGGGACTGCTATGTAATCTGGTCACCAGAGGACATCAGCAAGTTAACTCTGGTTTAAGTTGGACTTGTTGTGAACACAGCCATAATGTTGACACTAGGGGTCTCCATGGTGGATAGCCTAAATGATATATTTGAGTTTTCTTGTCACTAACTAAAAATGGTAATTAAAAACTCACAAATGAATCCAAGAAAGATGAAGTAAGGCATAGATTCTGTGATTTGATATAATTGAACAATTGTGTATTTGTATATAACCTTTTTTTGAAGTTCCTTAAGAATTGCAGCATATATTGCATGATATTAGAAATGGTGAAATTGGAAGATGACATTCTTTTTTCATATGGATTTAATCATCTTTACTTTTATATCCCTTTTTAAGCATTTTTCTATGCAACAATTAATATATATATATATAATAATGTTTTGCAAAATAAATTGAGACCATTTGTTAGCCTTTCTGTGATTAGTCACACAGTGAGTAAGTTCACCCTTGTGTTTATTATCTTTACTACAATTTGACACTCATTTGATGTGTGTGTGTGTGTGTGTGTGTGTGTGTGTGTGTGTTAAGTATCTGATCTTCCTGTTATCTCCTCCATTCCAGAACTCTGGATGTGGTCCCAATGAGGTTCCAGATGACAAATCTCTGATAGGCTTTGCCCAGTTAACTCTCAGCGATGCTTCAGAAGCTGCCACAGACTCTGAACCCTCCACACCCAACCCAGCCTCTTAGCCATGGGTCACCAGAATGAGGTCAAAGAACGGAGTATGTGCCAGTGTGGCCAGAGGGGGATGCCCTCTGCACCTGCAGGAAGCTAAAGCTATGGGACCTTTGGGTCAAAAACTCTGAATTCATGGAATCATATACCATTAATTGATTGTTTTCTTACAGCCAGAACAAAAATTCTCATTAACATGTAGACATTTATTAAAATACATGATATCTAAAGACTAATTTGATGGCAGTTTAACAACCAAAGTCTTGCAGTACTGTTGTCTTTTTGATGACAACACAGTGTCATTGAGAATTGTTGCTGAGACTACTTACAGCCATATTAACTTTCTGACTAATATACAGTATGAAGCAGTCATCTATATCATTCACAGATATGCTGTATTCATTGGTTCATGGCACTGGAACAGTTGTCATTGTCCATGCTGTGTTCTCTGTGATGTTAGTTAGTTATCAAGACTCTGGTTGAAGTGTCTGTACACTAAGTGTTCATGAACCAACACAACCAACATGAGAAATCCTCTCACCATGTTATCAAATGCTACTAACCTCTGCTTCATTAAAAAAAGGACTAAATGAAGTATTTACAGAAATCCCTAATATTCTCTTTGTTCCTATCCCAAGGGAATAAGTGTATCTACCTTGCACGTTATGTACACATGTTACAGAATCCATTGGATTTTTCATTCTGTGCTTTACTTACACTCCTTATATCCACATTGGACAGATTGCTAGTGTATGAGACAAACAGATGAACCATCTTTATGAAAGGCAATTATTGCAACAATGTATTCTCTCCCCATTGCAGTATCACTGTAAAACCTTGTCCCCAGCATTTGTCAGTAGGACCATGTGTCTGTCTCACAGAACAACTGGAGCCCCAAGTAACATTGGAACTAAAGCCGTTGCCTTCTAAAGCCTGGGTATATTGGCCTTTGTCTCATAAATGAAATATTGTGCCTGTTTTATATCAAGAAAGACATGTCAGATATGTCAGGACATTACTTTGTACCTTATTTCAGTGGACTACTATAGATGTTATCTTGAACTGAATTGGTTTAGAAGAATTTAGTTTAAGTGAAAGTTATTTTGTGGGATCAAGGTCCTGGCATCCCCAGCTTCATCACTGCCTTACACAGACACTACTTGACTGGAGCCGTACTTTGAACATGGGCATTTTCTTTTCTATCTGCACACACCAAGCATTTGTACACAGTTCCTGGCAAAATTCATTAAAGGGCAAAGAAAGTCAAGATTAAAAAAATATTCAGCCCAGCATATTCATTATCACAGACTGTTCACATTCATTATAAAGGACTGAAAGAAAGAGTTCAAGATATTCAACAGACCACATTGACTGTAACAGAGGAGAAGGGTGAATTCGCCAGAGATGAGGTGACACGTAGTTCTACATTTGGTATATCACCTTTCTGCATATGGTGAAACTTTTGTTTGAAAAAAGAGAAAAGTGAATTAGAGTGAGGAAGCAAGTATATGATATATTTCTGATGATTTCTTAGCACATTGAATTTGATGTCAGGAAGCACTGAGTTTGTTTATTTACTTATTTCAAAGAGGACTGGTAGTCCATAAATGAAGGGAAATGTAATTAATATTATGAGCTCAAATGGTTTGTTACGTTGTTTAGTTATGTCACGTTTGTTTCAAAGTATCTAGAGCTGAATAAAGGAACGCCAAGGGTGGGGCTAAGCTTTGATTTGTACTGTTCAGAGAGATGTATTGTTGCCAGTGGTTTGCCAGTGATTCCTGGTCTCATTACTGTGGCGGTGTGTGATACTTCAGAAGGCCTTCATTGGCCACGCCTTGTAAGATGAAACAGTGTTAACAGAAAAAAGAAATAAAAGTAGACAAAAATTTTGTCAGAAAAAAAGAGTTGTCTTTTAGTAAATATAAGTACATATATCCAAATAATCCAAAATAGATAAAAGGCGACTAAGAAACTTGACAGACAAGTATCACTGTACGTTAGCGGTTCAACGTGAAATTGTTTTTACACTTTAAATGCATAAAAATCTCAGAACACGTTTGGCTTTTAATTTACATCCTGAATAAACTTTAGCTACATATATATTATTACATACATATATTTACATTATATTGTAAATTGAACCTTAAGAGTCCGGACTTCTTTAGACTTTACGCAACGTATCATGAAGAGTTACAAACTATACAAAGAGACATTACGTGAAATTACCGAAAATGCTCGTGAAAAATGATGTGCTTACGTCCCCGAAACTGAGTGGGTGATTTCAAACTCTGGTGTATACTTTTCAGAATTATACCATTATACAAATTGAATGAACATTTTATAATCTACAATTAAAATAACAAATATTTCAAGATTGTGGCTTGAAGACCTAAGCAAAATTATCGGTCTGATATGGACAAATAGACAACGCTAGGCCTATTTCTACAGTATATGTAAGGTTTTTCCACGAGTTGTCGGAGTTTGTTATTTGCACCACGAGTTCGTTGGTCTAGCGATATTTGTCATATTTATCAGACCTGCCGGTCAGATTCAGTATTTAAAAGGATAATAACTGTTCATTTTGGAAAAAAATCCTGGGGTAAACGATAATTTCCCCATACTTACAATGGTTAATGAATCCATTTCTACATTCAAAGTTTGTACCTGTTTTTTTTTAAGTGTGTGTCTGTTTCTTGTAATAATCTCTTCAGAGATAATTACAGAGTATAGCCAGCTATGGAGGTCACGTGGTCCAGTGACAAACACAGATTTCGAAATAATTGCTATTATAAGTGCCGTTTTTGTGGTAAAATAGAATATATTATATTTCTATGAGTTGTTTACAATGTATTTATTGTGAAATATAGAACTCTCACGAAGAGTTGTCACCCCATTAATCTTCATATTTTAATCGTTCAAGATTTAATGCGTCCACTTCTGCAGACAATTCTTCAGTTTGCTTTCCCTCGGTTCCTTACAATGCACGGTCTCTTTGTGTTTTAAATAAACTGAATTACTCCTTTCAATGTATTTTCTTTTATTCGTAAAATCCTCAACAACAACAAACCTCCGTCACTTGCGTCGCATTTTAACATGGACACACATTAAAATAGGTCAGACGCTGAGTAGGTGTAAATAACCAGATTAACCCACGTCGTGATGTAAGACAGACCCGTCTGTAGATCGGTCAGGTTAACCAACCTTAAAAATGACAGACTACACGTTCACTATCATTGCAGGGCTCGTGGTGATTCTGTTGGCTTTAGTCTCGCTCTACTGGTCGAATTACAAGGTAGGGAATATTGCTTTAACCCATGCTCGTCCTATACATATGTGCCTGCATATTCCTGTGAGTGTGAGTGGAGCTTTGGACACGTCCCGGGCCAGAGATATCATCTTCATTCCCAATATGCTGGTACACATATATATATATTGGTCACAGTGTTTGCTTGATGGGTAGATTATTCCTCAAAAGGTGTGGTTACCGTAACGTACCCCCCCTCACGTGCCGCAGCTGTACACGTGGGTCTTCCATGTCAGCAAGTAACCCCCCCCATCTCTCTCTCTCTCTCTCTCTCTCTCTCTCTCACACACACACACACACACACACACACACACACACACACACAATTCACTAAAATGTACTATAGGTGCCAACTTTCTGCTAATCACTCGGAACAAATATGCACTATGTAGAGTTACAAGGGATACATGTATATGCCGGATACCGGTATTCATAGATGATCCCTATGCGCCATAATGCGGGTTTAACCTATATGCACATATCACCTGTGCACTGGTGAACGGTGGAGGCTGTTATTTATCATATATAAACAGAACAACATCATGTAAGATAAGACATACATTTCACTGGGTTAGGCTGAATATAACCTGCTTGGAAATGAACGAAAGACCTCCACGACCAGGAGAATGAATGCCTTTTTATGGCGAGTATCGTCCTTGTTAGCTATCATGATCGAGTTATAATTCCCGAGTCTCTTGGTTTATTCAGTTTATTAGATGTAGCTCATGCTAAAAATGCAAACAAATAAGATGAGGTTAGACCATGTCATTTAGCTTCACGTAACTTTCAAGTTGCGTGCGGCGATCAAGCTCGAGTCCTAGCTGTTTAGGCCCACGTCATGTACTGTGCATTACTTATATTATAAATATTTCAGTCTCGGCAAACTAGTACGGTCCAAGGCTCAGAGAAGATTCCAGGACTAAAACCAAAACATCCAAAGTAGGTGATACGTACCTTCATGTTTGTTACATTGTACGGGAATTATTAGACCAGGCTACTATAATGTGAATATTATAACCTGTAAAGAGGGTGCTATTATTTTTTCCGTGTCTCACCAGTTTTTTTATCGCCTCATATCTTTTTGGTGAAGAAGTATTTTACCAGCTATTCTACCAGCTATTTAGACTGATGGATACAATATATGCGTAGCTATTTGAAAATGTTCTAGCATTTAAAGCATGCATTATTTTTTATAAAAAAAGATATTTAGATTCATTTTATTATTTAATGAATGGGGGTGTATAAATTAAAAAAAAAAGTAATAAAAGCGTTTTCTCACTGCGCTCTGCCCACTTTGTACTTACGATGTTCATGAAACCCAATGTGATTTCTTACTGCTCTCCGCTGTCTTCATTATGGGGCAACACCAAGAAAATACAATACACTGCATGTAATATATATTTTAAATAAAGCCAAATAATAAAGTGTAGTTTTCTTCCCCAGACAAGGAAACTTGGACGATGTCAAGGCACATAGAAGTATGCAGGAGTTTCTTGTGTGGCTTCATCAGGAATTCGGCCCCGTCGCCAAGTTTTGGTACGGAGAACAGTTTGTGGTGAGCGTAGCCTCACCAGAGCTGCTGAAACAGCATGGCAACTTGTTCGATAGACCTGGTAACTATAACGATTTCTTCTTTAGGTTATGTTAAAGAATGGGATTTCTTAAACATAAAAATTACACCTGCAAGTCAATAAAATCTACAGCCCGCCAAATAACGTGAAGCACAAAAGTGAGGGACATTGTTGTGAAGACACGCAAAAACGTAACGTAAAATCTTTATGTGACCTTAAATTTATTTATCCTGGAAATTTAATATTCAAAACATACAATACATAAACGGTGTTGTTATACACTTCAATTGTTATGAAGGGGAATGAGATAAATAATTTTTTTTTTTTTGTTGAAAAATTTCAGTATAAGAAAGTACATATACCCAAGTATGGTAAATGCACACTGCACACTCACTCTCTCTCTTACACACACGAATACAAGTTTATAATCTCATGAACAATAGGTGTAATAATAATAATAATAATAATAATAATAATAATAATAATAAAGATCGATACCACAATGTATTCATCCATAACTACAACATATTATTAAGCAAAAAGTGCAAAATATTATTTTGCTGAAGCTAATTAAATTCAAACATGTCTGACCAATTTTCCCATTTTTTTTCAAAGTTTGTTAAATTTAGCTTTTTTAATGCATTGAATTTTTCTATTATAAATTGATCCTTTATGCAATTTATGAGTGAAGAAAGATGCATACATTCTTTCTTTTTGAAACTTTTGTAAATATAAAATTTCGTACAAAGAATAACAAAATTAATTGGGCTGTTTGGGTTTGTTGGATAGCCGAAAAGGATGCATTTTTCATTAAAGGTAATGTTTTTATTCGTTCTGTTAAAGATGTAAGCTTTCAGTTCTTCCCAAATTTTTTTACTATACGCGCATTGGAAGAAAGTATGCGAAATGTCTTCCCTTGCAACACCACAGAGAGAACAGTTTTTAAATATGATTTAACAGGCAGGAGCCTATGTATTATGCGGTATTGGAACCACTGCAGTTTGGTGTTCTTTGTTGTTTCGAAACAGTTCTTATAGACATCTTTCCAATGTACATCAAAATTTGACTTTGCGTTCCATTTTTTTTCATTTGTCATTCGTGTAGCTGGCTTGTAGAGAGTTTGATAAAAGTCTCTACAGCCTTTACTATGTTTGATAAGAAGCTCTATTGCTTGAGGCAAAAAAGGGTGAGAGGTGATCTCAAGAACATCGTTATGCGTTTTATTCATAAGCCTGTGCTTAATAGAATTTCGAATACCATAAAATGTAAGCGCACAACAGTTTTGTAGGCTAAATTTTTGTTCAAATTCTTCCTTTGTTAAAATTCTGTTATTTTCAAGAAAATCGCTAACAATTTTGACGCCTTTGTTAAACCATTTTCTTATAAACACAGGCTTGCCCCCAATCTTAAAATTATCATTATACCAAATCGGCTCCACATATATTATACTTTTTCTTTCTAGTAAGCGTGTTAACACTAATTTCCAGGAAACCAGAACATCTTTCCAAAAACAGTTACTACAATTCTTAATAAGCTTGTCTAGATACGCATTCCCAAAAGTAAATATATAACTTATTACATCTCGATCAAAAATAGCTTGGAGAAGTGGAGCATATATGTTGTCTGTCTGATAAATTCTTCTAATCCAAGTACATTTAAGAGAAGCAATAAAGTCAAATAAATCTAGCATCTTAAGACCACCTTGTTCATAATTACCAGTTATTACACTCCTTTTCATTTTTTCCGTCTTTTTGCCCCATATAAATTGAAAGAACATTGTGTTTAGTAATTTCATGTATGTTTCATCTGGATTGGGAAGGGAAATGAATAGGTGGTTTAACATGGGTACAACCAGGGTTTTCAGTACAGTGATTTTGCCAATGGGCGTCAAAGGTCTCCTTTCCCATTGTTGCAACATTCTTTTAATTTTTACGATGTATTGTTCAAAATTAGTTTTTATCATATCCTGCAAATTCAATGTAAATTCAATACCTAACAAATTAAAATTGTCATAAACCCAATTCATCTTCCATCTTACATGGTGAAACACCTCCTTGCTAAACTTTTTTGCGCCAATCCAAATTAGTTTAGTCTTACTCTTATTTATCGCCAAACCTGATATTTTTGAAAAGAAATCAAGTGTATTAAATGAGATAAATAATTTTACCAAGTTACTTTCATCATCGTAGATTTATTTCTGAAATCCGCTGAGGCAATTCTTGAGCCGCAGAGCGTTCAGTTCACCAACGGCGAGGAGGGGAGGCGAAGGAGAAGAATTTACGACAAATGCTACAGCCATGCCATCGTGATGGACTTCCTGCCAACTGTACAACAGGTGATCTCTCTTTCTCTCTCTTTCTCTCTCTCTCTCTCTCTCTCTCACCACACCTCGTATAGTCCAGACTAGGTTAGGTGAAATAATACAAAATACCGGTATGTTTCCGGTTATGATTGAATTATTGTTTTTGATTTTATTTTACCAATGTTTTGGCTAAATCTATTTCACTTTAATTATTCATATACTCTCTCCTTCCCCCCACCCCCCACCCCTTCACTCAACACTAATTGTCTTCACACTAAAGACAGTTCAAGTGAACAATCCCTGTCAACAAGGGAAATATGCCACAGGCTGAGGTGTCTCGTTTATGACGCTGTCTCAACCATCATTGTGACGGACTCCACAGAAATCTCACAATTGTGTTAGTGAAGACAACGTGAGACCGGTGGATTGGTCCTTCGGAGGGCTGAACCCGTCGAGGGCCCCTCTTGGTTCACAAGGCCTCGCCCGGACTAATCAGCCAAACCCAATATAGAGGTGCAATTGAGGTCACAGGCATGCTCTTAAAAATATTTAGTGCATAGATTGCAAACTATGTTTGATAATTTTAGGATCCCACATGAAGAAGTTTGTATCAAAGTTCCAATCTCCTGGAACCATAAATGATAAAAAATAATCCATCGTCTAACCCCAAAAAGGAACATACGTTACTGTCACAAAGGCAAAACGTCCAACCGTGAAACGTTTCACTCACTTTGAAAATTCAATCATCACTGGTTTTGTTCTTTGGTTTATCTCCTACAAGTATAACGTTGTAAAAACTATAACAATCTCCTGTATAAAAACATCTTTACGTCTTGTATAATTTACCATGACTGAATCACTACAAAATATACCCGAACGCGGTATAAAAATTAAAATTGAATGACCCAGAACATACGTTACTGTACGTTTTTGGAACATACGTTACCATTTAGAGCTCTTTGCGTAATGTAAAAGACATGGTGAAAATTAAAATTTGAATTTAAATTGATACAGCCGTGGATTTTTGTTCTATACACATATATGTTTAAAAATTGAATACAACTTTGAATTCAATCAATTTTATTTTTGGACACTTCAGCATGTGCGCATTGATGAGCACCTCTGTATTTGGGTGAGAACGGAGAGAAGCATTGGCTTGATATAGGATGATACTGCCACATCAAGATACATTTTTTTTTAGGGGGGGGGCTAAAATATTGATTTCAAACATATCTCCCTCACCTGAACAGTTACCAACACCGTTCAAAGGTCTATTTAATCGTAACAATAAGTACTACAAGTGCGTGATGTGGTGAACCAAGGAGTTTCAACTGGTGGACATAATAACAAATCTCGTCATGATTGTGTCGGGGTCCAGAAATGTCTTCATATTGTGCTAGTGAAGACAGCAGTGAATGATAAAGGACGCAGGTTTGCTCATCAATGCGCATTCCATGTCTGGATTTCATAAATGCGCAAGGATTTTTTATTTGTTGAAAGCGATGCTAAGTCGAAACTTATATTTTTTAAGTGTTAATAACACTGCACAGCTAATATGTTTTTTTTTGTTTGTATAATTTGGCACTGAAGTCTGAATAGGTAAGTATCCTCACATTATGTGTCTGCCATGTTCGCGTTCAAAGCACAACAGCTGATTTTATTTTATTTTCATTTTATTTGGGCAAAATTGGTCTTAAATGATGCCTTGAGTAATATGATGCGCAAATATGAAATTCGTTTTAATTTCATTGTCCCCTTGGAGCTTAATCTTAAAAAAAGATGAAAATAAGACTGCGCATTTTATTTCTAACTGGCTGAACCAAGACGCAAAGAAGGGGGAAAAGAACAACTATTTCATTCCATTCCGTTCCGTTCTGTTCCATTCCGTTCCATCCCATTCCATTCCATTGAGCTTTTCTATTCTATTCTATTCAGCATTGTGAAGAGCTGATAGAGCGCTGGGCCGGCTACCCCCCAGGTCAACACATCGACTGCAGTGAGGAAGGCCAGGAAATTATCGTGAAGATTGCCGCTGAGAACGCGATTGGGGCTGATTTCTTTCAAGATGAACAACACCTGAAGGAACTAGTCAGGGCCTTAAAAACGGTAAATTATTTATGCTTACGGAGATAGCCCGTCGAGAGCACTTCGTTTATCATACAGCAGTAGAGTTTAGAGTTGCTCCGCCGGTTAAAATTAAATGAGACAGTTTTAAAGTTTCGTGAGATCGTAGTTGTGATTTTGTCACGGCAAAAAAAGAAAAGCTATATAATAAATTGATAGATGTTTAACCTGTTCTTATCTTAACTGGCGTCCATATTTTTTCCCAGGCGGACAAAGACTTGACGGACCGTCTTCTGGACTCACAGCGAGGCAGCAGTGTGGAGTTTGAGAACGGTACATACTGGCACAGTGTATGTGCAGTATACTACGCCACCCAGTGAATTAGAGCTTATTACTTTAGGCTTAATACAAGAGAATATTGACTCTGTATCAAACTGGCCATCTTAATGCAGTATTTGATGTATATGCCCAATACTAAATTAGTTTTTATATACTTAACGTGGGGTAGGCCTACTATAGGGTTTTCCCGTGAAAAGTCATACATGACGGTAGTTTTTTCCGACTTAAGTCATCTTATGATTTTTGTCTCCTGACACTTAATTGCCAAAACTCCGTAACAATCTGGGAAAATTAAAAAGTCCGTAACCCACGCGTACGCTTTAAAGAATTGTTTTTCAAATTCCGACATCCCTTTCAGCTCAATATTTGCACTTACTATCAGCTTCCGAGCGATTGAAAGCTGATGGTGTAGTAAATTTGATATTTTGCGACAATAGTTCCTGCCAATAATTTTGTAAAAGCATCAGCAAAAGTTCTCAGTATTACTTGTCCTCAAATAAGTTTTCTAAAGTGATTTCAAAATTTGTTTAACGCATGTCACTGGATTCCAATTTTTCCCTTCCAGCAAAGAAATACATCTTCTCCGCTGTGAAGACAGCTGTTGACAGAAGAAAAAGTGGAATAAGACCACCATCTGGCGGCCAAGTTCTTGACGCCATGTTGGAAAACAACCTACCTGTTCACGTGATCCTCAGTGACCTAGTAACAATGATCTTTGGGGGTATGATCACTCCCCTGAACAGTGAGTTTGAATTTATGATGAAAGAAATTAAGATGGTGAACAAGAAAAGTTAATGAATTTAAAGGAAAGTTAATTTACATCTTTATCTATTATTATTCCCCTTCTGTTTTGCTCATTGCATTTAAAACATTTTGGTGTCTTTTACCTGTGATACACATGTATCCTGTGGACATTTTAAGGCGTCGTTTACNCGCACTGACTAATGGAGGCGCTGCAGTCAAAATTTAATATCCCAAACCATTTTTTAATTGCGTCACCAAAATTAAAGAAATCCAGTACATTAATTATAAAATCCCAGTCAACCGAATCGAAAGCCTTTTCAAAATCAATCAAAACAAGCAAGCCTGGAATATTTCGTTTTTCTGTGATGTGCATTAGGTCATATATCAACCGTGTGTTTTCTCCTATATAGCGGCCAGCTAAAAACCCAGATTGAGAAGGGGAAATTAGTTTGTCTAATACAGTTTTCATTCGTTCAGCTATACATCCGGATATTAGTTTATAAAATACATTTAATAATGTTATAGGTCGCCAATTTTGTAAAAATTTTCTATTCTTGTCCCCTTTCGGGATACAAGTAATAATGCCGAGTTTCTGGCTAGTTGGTAACCTTTCTTTACGAAATACTTCATTTACCGTTCTGACCATAAATTCTTTCAAATCTGACCAAAAAAATTTGTAAAACTCAGTTGTAAAACCGTCGGAACCCGGAGATTTGTTATTCTTCATTTTCTTTAGGACTGTAAGAAGTTCTGTCTTGGAGATTTCTCCCTGTAGCAGTTCTTTTTCGGTATCATTTAATTTAGGCACGTTAAATTGGTCAAGAAGGACTCGAAGATCAGTTTTTTCTACAAATTCTTTTTTTGAGGAATACAGACGCTCATAAAATAATTTAGCTTCATTAAGTATTTCCTTTTGATCAAAAATAACAGTACCGTCTTGCAGTTCTAGATTTTGTATAGTTTTGTTCACGTAATGTCTAGATTCTAGAAAACAGAAGTATTTTGTCGGCTTCTCACCTTCTTCCACCCACCTTGCTTTTGCTCGCAAAAGGATACCTTTTAGTTTCTTCTGTCTTATGTTTTTCAATTCTGTCTTTTTTGCTTCCAATAGATCTGAAATGTCTTGGAATTGAGGATTAGTTTCTAGTTCATTTATTGAGTTTTCCAAATCATTTTCGAGTTTACAGGATTGCTTATTTCTGTAAGAGGAATATGATATAGTCGCGCCTCTAATTTCCATTAAAAGAGTTTCAAAAAATAGCGAGTCATCAATTATGAAGGTAATAGACTCGTTCGGAATGTCCTCTATATGTTCCAAATTATATACGGGGATTGTATACTGTCTCTTAACTTTTAATATCGTTTCCTTAATTTTAGTTACATATTCCACGTCATTTAAGAGAGTATTATTAAAGATCCAAGTCCCCCTGCCTTTGATGAATTTATTTAATTTTAGTTCTAGTATTATTGATGAGTGGTCAGAACGGTAACCTGCATTTATAGAAATGTTGTTTACAGAATTTTGTAGGTTATCGGCAATCAAGAAAAAATCGAGCCTAGCTTGCCTCAACGGATTCCTTCTTCTCCACGTAAACCTTCTTTCTCCTGGATACAATACTCTGAAAAAGTCAATTATATCAAGATCATTCATTATTTCAATTACTTTCTTCCTTGCTCTGGGGTTATTTACATGACGGTAATTGCTTGAATCTAGCACCGGGTCTAAAACGAGATTAAAATCTCCACAGATGATAAAGTTTTCATTATTAAAATCGACAATAGTTTGTCGTATTTGTTCGTAGAAATCAGGGCTATCTCTATTAGGACCATATATGTTAATTAAAGTAAATCGGACTTTGTTTATACCAATATCCAACGCTAAGAGATTGCCATCATTTGTTTTTTGTTCTTTAAAAAATTCAAACTCGAAGTTATTATTAATTAGAATGGCCACCCCTCGGGCATTTGTAGAAAAGGAGTTAAAGTAACCCTTGTAACCCCATTCTAAAACTGCTCGTTTCTCATCTTCTGTGCTAAAATGCGTGTCTTGCAAACACAAAATATGGTAGTTTTTAGTTCTATAAAAATTTAGGACATCTCTTCTCTTCTCCGGGGTGCCCAGGCCTTGACAATTACAGGAGACTACCTTTATCGGGTTTATCGTGTCCTTCATACGGCTCTAAAAGTGAAAAGAAGTGTATAAATACATATGCTGGTATATATATATATATATATATATACATATACATATATATATAATTATAAACCTGCATTCTACTGTGATATACCAGGGTCTAGCATAATGTGACCCATGTGTAAAGACGCTTAATAGTCTAGGATAACCTAAAGAAAACACACTATAAGGGAATACATTGTGGCATTGTATAACCAAACAGCTAATTATCAACATCCACACACTCAGCCACACACTCACTGTCAAATGACTACCACACAGATGCATTGAGAAACAACATGCACATGCACACGTATTAACTGTCATTGAACTACTAACTATATACAGTTCACGCTACAGTCCCCGCTCTTTATTAAGCTAACACGTTAAATTGTCATCTCAGCTTGTTGTCAATGTTATCGAACAGGTCGAATCTCTGTCGGCGCCCTTTGATATCCACTGCAAAAACCCTTCCGTTGAAATACCATGCAGAGTGCACCGATTCTCTCTCTTTGAGTGATCTAATTAACTCTGCATTATAGCGAGTAATGTGATCGTACATAAGGAAATGGTTTTTTAGAGCTTGCCTGTGTTTGATGACGGCTATTTTCGATTCCGTATTCACAAATTTCGCAATAACGGGCCGCGGTCCGCCGGCAGTGCCTGGGATCCGATGAATAGCTAAAATTGATGATGGGTTAATATCTACATTGACCTTCTCCTTGAAAATCTTGCAGAGGTCAGCCCTTAGGTTTTCCTTGGGTTTTTCAATCCAGTTTAGAAATTTTATATTGTTCTTTTGTGAGTATTGCTGATTATGGTTCGCCATTTGTATGGCAGCTCTTGTTTGGCGACTATTTTCTTCCAGCTTCTCAGTTAACTTTCTGATTTCAGAGGCCTGTTTAGTTAGTTTTTCACGCAGTGATTCTGTCTCTAGGCACAACGCGTCAACTTTTTCAGTTTCAGCAGCTATCTTGGCCCTAAGATCTTGCTCCAACTCTTTCTTAAATTCATCTTTTAGTTCCTGTTTTATTTCGATCTTAAGCTGTGACAGAAATTCCATAACGTCAGATTTACGTATCATCTCATTTTTTATTTCTGCCAATGTATTCTGGATCGTGCGGAGTTCATCTGCAGTTGGATTCTCTGTCGACTCCATGCTGTTGGTTCTTTTCTTCTTTGAAGGTNTTCATTTATTTAACTATTGTATATATATAATATAAAATACACATAAAAGAGGAATTGTTTTACCAACTCAGATTTAAGAAAAATGAAACAGATAAATAACAATAGAATAAACTAGTACGAAACACTACCGGCAGAAATAAGACGAATGGTTAAGAATAGCTGTTAAAATTATTGGATTTACTATTAAAAAGAGGTGAGCGGTCGGATAAAAACTTAAAAATCATTTGCTTTCTCTATAAGTTAAAAGTCTATACTTGCTTGGGAGAAAGTTTTAAAAAGTTCAATAGCAGCGTGAGTGGTATCTTTCATAATCTTATCGGTTCTGGAAGCCACCTTTCAGTGTTTGGTTTTGGGAGTGACGTTGTACAGGGTAATATTTCTTTAAGTTTCAAATTTTGTTCAAGTTAAAATCTGATGCAAAATCTGGGGTCAGAGATTAGGATATACAGGGGCGGGTCCAGAATTATTTGAAGGGAGGTCCGCGGATTCGAAGCGGACTCCCCCCCCCTTTGGCGTGGGGTTCCGGGCCCCTCCAAAGGGCACCGAAACGTTTTGGTATTTTAGAGGACGAACGATGCCTTTGGTACGGTTTAGGACTATGATTCAGCTAGTCCAAATTCTAATTTCAAGAGGGACCATTGGTGTGAATTTTTCAGAAATCTAAGGGGGGTCAGGACCCCTGACACCCCCTCGATCCGCCAGTGGCATTTTTCTTATTTGATTTTTTTCTTTTTTAAGTTATATTATGTGGACTTAAATTTGCTTACATTATACTTCGTGGTTTGTCATTCCACCTACATATACTGTTGAACAAATTCAAAGTCCTCGGACATCGTACACATGTACATGTAGAGCAGCATGTTACCTGACATTAAAGTAGCACTTTTCTAGACATCCTTGCAAATTTAACAGAAGTGTAATGAATAAGCGTCCTTAAAGGGATAACAACTGTTCGTAAGATATCAATATTTCACAATAAATACATTGTAAAAACTCATAGAAATATAAAAAATTATATTTTACCACCAAAACGGCGGTTAACACAATTATTCCGGAATTTGTGCTTGTCAATCCATCACGTGACCTCCATAGATGGCTACACTCCGTAAATATCTCTTAAGAGAATATTACAAAAACCCAAACTTTTTAGGAAAAAAAAAAAAAAAAAAAAACAGGGACCAACTTTGAATGTGGGAATGGATTCGTTTACCATTGCTAAGTATGGGGAAATTGTCCTTTACCCCCAAAAAGCTATCTTTTGGCCAAAATAAACAGTTAGGCCTACGTGAAAATCACACACATTGATTTCGACTTTCTGCCTTTTTAGGGTCCCTTCTGTAAATTAAGACCGTCTAAGTGAGGCCTGTTTACTTGTACGTTAGAGCAGCCCAAATGGTACAAATATCAAAACTCGTCTCCGAGAGGAAGGGTGTTAAAGATGACCTTTTCAATTTTCTATGAAATCTCTGTGTAAGAGCCTTTAAATATGTAACAAGTTTATTGGAGTCTGCAGAGGTAGATTGGGAAACGGTGTTAAAGGAAAAAAGATTATCAAAAACTGGATCCAAAATTTTACTTTCTACCGAGAGACAATAAATCCTCAGTTAAATGCTTGACAAGATGTTATTTTTTGCCATTATGATGCCAGCAAGCCCGTTCCGCGTTTGAGATGCTTAAAACTTTATCAAATCTAACAATTTTGAATCGACGATTGACTGCGAAAATCAGGTGACCTTCTACATTATTATGTAATCCAGGTGAGAGGTGTTCAGATAGGACAGAGGTCAGTAGAAAATGGAGAAGACAGAGGTTCATGGTACGTTGCTGCAATTCCCACATGTAGACCAAAATTGAGCACAGAAAATGACAGTAAGCTGCTGTATAAGTATTGTATAGATGACATAAGATAACGTTGCCTATTTTGTGTTGATGACGTTCACCAAAATGGTGCATTACGCACTTTAGTCCTTCTGAACACGGAGAAAATGTATTAATGTCAAATGCACTCCATTTCAGAAGTCCACAATCAGCTTAAAGGTTAAGTAACTTATTTTATATTATTTTAGAGAGGAAACGCGATCGCCAGTGGTGAAGTGAAGGGCTTATTCCAGCTGACCAAAGGTCTGAACGAGTCCTCAACAAATAAGACGACTGGGCAGGTATCTACATTTCCCTTATGGGTTATGTTTATTGGCGAGGACATCAACTTGTTTCTCAAAGTATGAAAAATGTGTTGTTTATTTAAATAAACGTTCAACAAACAAATGCACATGTAGCAATGTTGAAATGTTATATCACTACTCAGGGGCGGATCTAGAGATATTTTCTGACAGTCTCCCAAATTATCTTTGTTGATCCATCCTCCATTTTGACCGTCTTCTGACAGAAAACATACGATACACGTCAATGTTAACTTGAAAATCTGACCGTCTTCCGGAAGACCCAGAAGACGACCTAAATCCTCCCCTGACGCCCCTGACTACACTCCTGAAATCGACAGAACCAGGTCGGATGGGTTGGCGGAAAGAAACTAGACAAAGTCCAGCTATTTTCCATCGATATGCCCTACAAATAACAGTAAATGTATCAGGCCCGTAGCCAGTAATTTCAAAAGGGGGTTTCTTTTTCTAAAAAAGTGGACCTTTTCCCATGAAACCTTCATGTACCTAGATTATAATTTTACCCAGAGTGGACCTTTTCCCAGCAAAAGGGGCGGTTCTTTCGACCCCCCCGAACCCCACTGGCTACGGGCCTGTGTATCCTCGTCTTCTGTGTTTGTTGTCCTCGCCCCCCCCCCTCCCCCAGAAAACCCTGGATTGGCCAGTAAAAACGTGCCCAGATCTATTTTAGATCCTGTAAATTTAATGCAAATTGGGCCATTGCCAAATGTTTTTTATTTACTGACTTGTACATTTGCGAATAACTCCTTAATCCGAACCCCTGGTATTTTCATCTAGCATCATACATATGAATATGAAGGAGTAAGTTGACGTTAAATAGAGTGTATAGGAAAATGAATGACACCGTTGTAAAGTGCGCGATTGCAGAGAATGTAATGCTTCATAAACATGTTCATATTATTCTACCGGTAATGTTCAGTAGTGTTTTTTTTTTATGTACTGACATGCGTACTGAAATGAGATGCTGTAATGATATCCATACTGCTTTATCAAAACATTCCGTGAATGTAATTTTTTTCATTTAATTTCAGTGACTCCAAACTACTGTTTACCGGTTGATTGGCTGCATTCGCCATCGAAGACATCAGATTCGTCTTCACTAGTGCCTGCTCCCATGCCAAGATTGTCTCGCTTTCCGAAGTTTGTCTTTTAGTTTATTTGCAGGGTTGACATTTGATATGTTATGCAATTATTGCCTTGGGTTGCAATACTCGGTATACAATGTGTATCAACTTAAAGGTTGCACACCGCGAGCATTTTACTTAAGAAACTTCTGATCAGAAAAAAAAAAGATAGAAATGGACTAAATCTATACTAAGCGTCAACCCTGCATGTCGCTGGCTATATATTATACATATGCCTGTAAGTCGTAGTACAGTACTCTATCCGCCCATGGCAGTTTATTTAAACATTTGTGTTGGGAGGAGGTACCCATCAGTTCTCGAATAAAAATATGCTTTTTTAGTAATAACAAAAAATAATGTCAGTGAAATGATGTTTTGCTTAAGTGATGGATGAAATTAAAACTGATAGCTATGCGATGTTTCGGTAGAGTACTGTGCTAGCACCATTTGTTTTTCAAATATTTGAGGGCAGTTATTTTCTGAGGACAAATCTTCAGTTACACACTTAGCTGTGCATTTGTTTTTTTTAATATTATTGATTTTGATGTAAAGTAAAACTCTGGGAAGAAAATATTTAAACTCCAATACAGAAATTGTTTAAACATGAAATATTTGGGAGATAATCAGATAAGTATATTGGCTGTTCAGTTTAATAAAAGAGCATGTTGTTAATCTGCAATAACTGTAAAACACTACTTTACATTATTATTACGCTTCAGAAATTACAGCGCTATGAAAATGACAAAATGTGTCCACGTGACTGCAGTATTCTCCACGTATTAGAACATTTTTTTAAATTGTGGATATGCTTAGAATAAGATAACTGGTTCCCGGTGCTTTGATATTGTGTCTCATCAGATGTTTCCCGAAATAATTGTGCATTCGATATTGCAGTAATGGTATGTACATTACCCACGTGATAAGTAAAATTGGTCCACCAAAATTTGCATGAGCTCATTTGTGTAGTGCACAAAACTGTTTGCCAAAAACAGAAATGTTAGTGTTCTCCTAGAAAAATATCTTTGTCAATTTGCTTTATAATATTGATGTGAGACTGGCATTTATCATAACCTTGACATTTTTAATTTAGAAAAATTCTCATACAATTCAAATTAATTATTTCAGTCGTTGCAAAATTCTCTTTTTTGGANAATGTGTCCACGTGACTGCAGTATTCTCCACGTATTAGAACATTTTTTTAAATTGTGGATATGCTTAGAATAAGATAACTGGTTCCCGGTGCTTTGATATTGTGTCTCATCAGATGTTTCCCGAAATAATTGTGCATTCGATATTGCAGTAATGGTATGTACATTACCCACGTGATAAGTAAAATTGGTCCACCAAAATTTGCATGAGCTCATTTGTGTAGTGCACAAAACTGTTTGCCAAAAACAGAAATGTTAGTGTTCTCCTAGAAAAATATCTTTGTCAATTTGCTTTATAATATTGATGTGAGACTGGCATTTATCATAACCTTGACATTTTTAATTTAGAAAAATTCTCATACAATTCAAATTAATTATTTCAGTCGTTGCAAAATTCTCTTTTTTGGAGGGGAGGGGGGGGGGGGGTAATGAGTTTTCCGAAATAATTCGATGAAGTAACATCAACCTATGTTAAATCTTGCTTAGAAAAATATAAAACAATTAGATAAGAAAGTTTCAGGTGAGAATGAGGGAATTATAGTAACATTTATTTTTATATCTGATACATACTGTTGTTCAGCGGTTCTTATACATGTAGTTTGGTCAGTTATTTTTAGAATTTACCTAATAATCACAAAAGTCTCTTTCTTTGAAGCAATTACTATGTTAAATTGTGCAAAATTGACTCTCTATCAAAATATACAAACGATAACTACTTTGTGATTTGGCGTTTTTTGAGTGAAAAGTTTTACCAAAATTTTGCAGGCCAGTGTTCTATTTAAACTTGGTCTTGTATCAGTACCTAGTGCCTTTAAAATTTTTTTGTTGGTAATTAGGAGTGATTGAGGAAAAAGGTCTGATAAGATGCCAGTCTCTCACGTCCTGTTGGGCTAATTCACTGGATGTTTCTTGATCACTGAACACCGGGGATCAGATTTGAGGTTATTAGCATATAAAGTTATCTAAAGTAACTGATTTTTGTGTAATATTTTATGTGTAGTTTGTATATTATTCTTAAAGATTTCTTTGACTGGGATTAGTTTGTTAACCGACTTGTCTGTATGCCGTTCCTGATCGTGATTCGAATGCTGTTCAAATTTAAGTTGTCACTCAGAATTGATCCATCAAGTGCCTATTTTAAGATTTAATGAAAAGAAAACGATATGATCTTAGCTGTCAGCTACATTTATCGATGAGCGAACAAACACAAAGCTTATGAAAATGAATTAGTTTTGGCTATCGTTTAGATTTATGCGTGCGAATCAGCATGAAGGCACAGAACAAGGTGTATGTGAGTGCGGGGGGAACGCAAACTTGAGATTTTATGCATTTTGAAATTTTGATATCGCTAACAACACTAAATTTGGACAAAGATCTTTCTCGATTAATTTTACTATCAATTATAAGACAAATGCACGAAGGTCAGCTTTGAACGAAAGTTGCAAACTGTGATACAGTTTATGTCCCAAATTGTCCATCAGTTTTGGTCAGATACAACTATATCTTCTTTCTAGATGATGCTATGTCCACCATAGTACCCGAGCTTTTAAAATGTCGTTTGAGCAGTGATTTTCAAAATGTAAAGAATCTCCGACACGTTTTAGTTAGGACTTAAATATATTTATTATATATTATTATTTCGGAATTCGATGTTGTTATAGAAACTGCTGTGACTGTAAAAAGAAAAAAACTTTGTTTTTATTAACTCTGTGTATTCTCTTGCATTCGTTAGGACAATAATAAACGTATATATGTTGTACTTTAAAAATCTGCAAAAAAAAAAAAAATGCTTTAATTTTCATTGTTTTCTTCAGCTCGACGCGAACCCCTAGTATGCCAGTTTCGAGTCTGTCGTCCCTGGTCAATTACGTACCGTCTTACCTACTGAGCTATCAACTCAACTTACTTTTCGTTATTCATGTGCTCCACTTGTAATCGCCCAAATTGATTATTTGGAATTATTTTGCAAAAGGTAATTTGCTGGGACCCAGGAGCGCCAGGTTTCGAACTTGGGACTTGCTGACTCAGAGACAAGCGCGTTACCTATTCCTCTAAGTGTTCCCACCCACCCTCCCCGGTGAGACTTTCCTCTTATAGTAACCAAAGAGAAAACTCTAAAAAGGCCCAATTTGAAAATCATTCACCGATTTCAAAGTTCCCGAGTCAGGAAACGAGCCTCAACCAGTGAGGTACCACTGAGACAATGAAAATGCTACAATGTTTTACATCTTAAAAATTCTTTATTCAGAACAAAGCAAATTTCCATTATGTACACATCCATTCATTTTAAAGCATCTATGTGCAATTGTTCATTTTGGAAAAATATTTAAAGGTTAGACAAAGTTACTGATACTCCTACGGCACCAGAAATCACCCGAAAGTGTAACAATTTCAAACTTTCTATTTATTTGATTTGACGAATAAAATTATCAACTAAACTGTAGTATTTGAATTATGTTTGATCTTATTTCAAGCAAAACATATCACAAAAATGCATGTTACAGTCTTTTTAATAAAAAAGCGTCGGAATTATATCCTTCACATCAATAATACCACCACAAGAAAAAGAAACAGAAAAGAATCTGGACTCGCATAATCAACTCCCCAAAACCCTCCACATTGCCCAGAATTTCAGAATTTGGCTTAAGTGAAATGTCCCCGATCTGGAAGTGTTTCCTCTCTCTTTATAACTATTAAGTATTATGGAAAAATTCAGTAACTTTAGTGCTACAATGGAGTGTGATGGTTATTAATGGGAAGGATAAAGGCGCTCGCTCTTACTTCAATGTCAAAAATTATGTTACATAAAAACAATTATGTAGAAAAGTATGTGGAACTTGAACATGTTATCAAATCTGGATAATTGTCGAAGGACAAATCAATAAATATGTTATACTAGCTACATTCATTGCTAATGCCAAAAAATCTCGTACCAGATGTTTTGTAACTTTCCAAGCATAACTTGTTATCACATATGAGCAAATAAACGTCATTTCTGCATCAACTGGTCGACAGAATGGAAGTTGATGATCAGAGAAGTTTCAAAGAATAGCAGATTTTGGAAAATCTAGCATTTTCAATAAAATGAATGCCCTCTTCAACTTAACGCAGAATCCAGATTTGTTCAACATTGTCACTATTGCCAGTTATACCAGTGTTTTCGTTCAAAAAGTTTCACAATGTACACTCTACAAACCTTTACTTCAGAAAATGGATGTTACTGATCTAAATGTTCAACATTACCTTAATCATTCAGTTTACAATTCTGATGAACAAATTAAAATAAGTTCTAAAACGAGTTTTTATTTTCATTTAATTCATTTAAAAACAGATATATTTATACTTGTCAAAGCGGCTTTACAAGTTAAGGAAACAATTGCTGACGAAAACTGCAATTTGTCAACTCTACATTCACGTCACTTCTAAACAAAACAATTGATCGGTGTCTTAAAACGACAATGGACAAGAACAAAACAATTTTTTGTTATTTCTTAACCGAGCATTTAAAATAAAACAAACGTTGAAGGCACACAGTGAGCGTCAGATCCTTATGTAGCAAACATTTAATTTCCTTGGAAATTTCACCACCCTTTATAACCAAGGTACAAGAATTACAATCCGTGCACCACTTATTCGGTTCCAAGGGTCCCCTCGCAATGAAATTAGACAGTGGAGAATTTTCACTCGTGACGACAAAATCGTGAAATGCAAAACTCAAAAGCTGATTTATATTTATTGTAAACTACAGTGAGACGTAGTGGAGAGCGTTATAACAGATCTAGACTTTGTCTTATAAACTTAAAGCGTACTTTTCCCAAAATAGATAAGGGTGTTTTGGTGAAAAAGCAAATATTGCTGAATTAACTAGGTTTTTTGTTTGGATAAGGAAAAATAAAACAAACGTTGGATAAAGATCTAACGCTCATTGTAAATAAATTTGTGATTTCAAAGAGAATGGAATTATTACGTGCTCGCAAACGTAAAATTATAAATTGACTTCAGTCAATTAATTCATTCAATCTTATTTTGTCGATTTGTCATTAATTGTAACTGGATAAGGGAACTATAAAAGCATGCTAACAAGATCAATAACTAAAGGCTACTCTATACATATATACATATATTTCATATACATATATTTCTCCTGACATCATGAAAAACAATGATCAAAATGTGAAAAAATGCCCGAACAAACTTTCCAAGTATAGTTTAACTACAACTCGACTCAAATGTTTTAACGTAGTAAAAGTTATGAACTTAAATTAATACTTGTATACGAATATAATGTTTTTTAAGGACACAGGCAGGGCTAAACAAAAACTCCCAAATAACTGCCTTTACGTACATATTTTGGGTAACAGACAGCAGGATAACCCACAGTTCCTTGGCATGTACATAAATTATATTTTACTGATGACGTCATTACTACAAATTGGGGGCAGAAATTGTGAAATTACTTTCTCAAATATCTGCTATAACTTATCTTAAGCGTTTTAACGTATTGAGATGAAACAACTTTATAAAATTTAATTATCATACCTATAATGCGTTCTTCTATTTGAAAATGGAAATATAATACTCAACCACCAGCCGGTCACTCAATATGAACATGCTTATGACGATAGTTTCAAACTGGCCATTCCAAAGCATTTCCCCATTCTTGACTACATTCCACGCGTGAAACATTTACTGATACTGTTATTTCTTATCTCAAATTAATAACATGAGGTGCAACTGTATTTGTCATTTCCATGGGATGTGAAGAGCTGGTGAAAATGTGGAAGAA